AAAAAAAAAAAAAAAAAAAAGCGGAGCAAACGATTAATTCAATCACGGGAGAGTATTCACAACGAAGAAGCACGCGCCACGCGTGTTTCGAGTTGCGAGTTTCGATTGTTCGACGTCAATGTGCAACGCCGTTTCGTCCCTTTCTATCGAAGCCTCGATCTCCTTGACACAATACCTGGACTCGCCATTGCGACCCTATTACTTCGCCGGACCATTTCTGTTCTTCCACTTTATATTACTATTATTTATATCTTCCACTTTCTCCTTTTCTTCTTCTTCTTTTTTTTTTTTTAACATCCTCATCCCCCGTAACGTCCGCCCCCATGACGTTGGTCGGCCCGGTTCTTCGATCGCTCCTGCGTCGTATCGCATTTCCTTCGTTATCAGAGGGTCATCCTATCTTTCGAATTGCATTCAATCAAAGGCGGGATCGATTTTCGTCTTCTCGCGCATTTCTGCAATTCGAGTGACACGAGTTGTATAAACAACTCATAACTTCTGATCCACCGAATCTCCGAACTATTGGACCGGCCATGTTTCGAAACGAAGAATCACAAGTAAGAATTCGACGAGAAAGATTGGTTTCCTTCTCGTTCTCGTTTTCGATCACCCGTACGTTTAATTAATCGGTCGACGATGAAAATCGCATTTATTCGGTTATAGAGCCCGAACACCCCCTCCCCCCGCCAGTTGATAGATTTCTAATTCCATAAACGTATAATTCGGTGGCGAAATTCCGTAAAGCGCAGTGGGCGCAGTGGCGCAAAACAGGAAACGGGGCGGCACTGGGATGGGCGGCCGGGAACAAAAGTTGATATCGAATCGTAAATACAGGACAGGGATCCCCCCGGATGCCACTCAAATTCCATTTTCATCGCCTTCAACCGCCCGGGGCTACGTGTTCCGGACTTGTCGCAAGTACACGAGTCAGTGATCGAACTGTCCGAGCGAATCACCGCGCCGTCCGATACCTACCTCTCCTCCTCTCTTTCTGTTTCTCGCTCGCGCTCTTTCTCCCTCCTTTCCACCCGTCGCGTCGCGTCGTCTCGTTTTCTCGTGCACACGCACGCACGTGTACATTGGCAACAGGAGGCAATGACAGCTCTCGTGACAGCCACGTGACGTTTGCGGGTATTCCGCCACCCATCTAATTATCATTCGCCATGCACAATACGGGATCGCATGCACCGCCTATTCTCCTTCGTGAATTTGCATAAGAACGCGGATCGGGGGATAGAAAGATTCCAAGGGATGAGAAAGAAGGTGTATACGCTTTTCGCTCCTCTTTCCTCCGTAATTTTTGGAATCTCTACCCTACCTATCGTACGAAAATAAATACTCGAATTACGACATTACGCAATCAATTATCGACTGCTCCCCGTTGTTAATTACGATATTGCGTAACGATAAATTCTTTCTTCGTCCGCGTGGAATAATTGCGTGGATAATCGTGGATCGCGGAAGAGGGCGATCGTTTCATCGAACAATAGTTGTCACCATCGATTTCGAAGACAGCGGCTATCGATCGCACGCGCGCGTCCCGCACGACACGCCGCAAAATCCGCAAGATATTCTTGCTAAATCGAGCGAACGGGCGTACCATCCCATCCCATCCCATAGAACGTTCCTCCCGTTCGGTGGATCGCGGTGGCCGTGGATGAAAACCGGTCCGCGATCATTCGCGCGTACCACACATTATTTTTACTCGTCCGCAACTAGAGCGGCGAAACACGCAGGCGTTATCTCGAACAGCCGGCTTTGTCTAACTTTAATTGAAAATATTGGAATAAATCTTCCAATAGACATTGTCGGGCGAAACTGGCGGTCGCTTCACAGCCACCGCGCGCGCCACCAAGAGATAGGGGTGAGACCGCGCGAGGCGTGAGGGGACGGTGGACGGGGACAAAGTGGAGAGGGGCGAGTAACTGGATAGGACCGACGATGAGCGGGACAGGGAGGACGCGTGAACGTTAACGAGCGGGCCAGAAGAGGTAAATAGCCATTTGCGGTCGAGCTTATAGCGAAAGGTTCGCCGTTCAAAAATGGCCACCACCGACTCGGTCGGCAGCCAACCGACCGTTTTGTGCCAGTTCGAATCAATCCCGCGCCTATTTCCCTTCCTCCCGGGCCGGCCGCGGGGGACGACGCGTATTTATTTCGTACGAAACAGCCGCGCGTCAGCGTTTCCGTCGCCGTACCAAATCGAGTTCATCCTATTCGACGGTGCTCTCTCTCTCTCTTTCTCTCTCTCTCTCGCCATCTTCTCTTGCCATTTCGCGAAAATTTATTATCGTATTTTTCACGAGTATCGCTTGCAACGCAAGTTCTCCGGAAGGGAAGGATTAACCGTCGAAAATTAACCGTCCAAAAGAAAATTAAACGCGTATTGAGAATGTTTGGCAAAATACGACGTTTGGCGTCTGCGACGTTCGTTCGAGGAGTTAATCGAGAGAAAATAGGGATGAGAAATTGGCGATTCGCGATTAAGGCGAAGAGACGTAGATTGGAAAGGTTTGGAAAGGTTTGGCGAGGCGAAAAATGGGGGGGGGGGGCGGGCAGGGTGGCCAGGATTGAATCGTTTCCAGGCCTCGGCGGGGTTCGTTCCAAGCCCCGGTAATCACGATAACGAATCGACGGTAATGGCGGTAGGCAGCCGATCGTTGTCGCCGACAACGCTGGCGACAACGCCGCCGTTGCCGCCGCCGCTTTGGAATTCGAAACGGCGTGGCAGGGCAGCATAGGTAGGCACGAGCAGCAACGACGACGGTTATCGGAGTCGATCATTCAATTTTGCGCTGCAAATTGTCCGCGCCGGAAACTCATATCCGGGCACTTCCGGTTCTCCCTGGTTCCGCCCCCGGGAAGAGGAATCTGGCGAAAGGGCGGCCTCGTTGAATGGCCCGGTTCAAGAGCGAGCCGAGGGACCTGAACAGCTCCGCCAGGGCGAAAGAGAGAGGGGGAGAGGATGGGGCGGATGACAGGGAGGGGGGAGCGAGAGGAAGAGAAAGAGGTGGAGATGCGGTGGAAAAGGAAAAGGGGTGGGAAAGAGAGAAAGGGGCCAGGGGAGACAGACAGGAGAGAATCGAGAGGTCGCAGGTTGGATAGGCAGCAACAAGCGCGATTTCGATTGATTGCTCCTAGGTCCTGGTAGAATCGTTCCCGTCATTATCGACCTCGTAGAGAATCGAGCTTCACCTGAGCTTCCATCCCGATACTCGATTCCATTACCGTCGTTATAATCCTTTGTAGCGTCCTCGTTACACGCCTGTTTACACGGTTAGGATTAATCGTATCACGATCAACCGAATTTTCTCTCTTCTTTTTTTTTTTTTTATCAAGAATCAGAATTTACAGAAAATTCGGATTTATTCAAGGATGAATAATAATACGTCGGAACAATAGGTTGGTTCGTTAGAAAACGAATGCGTACGCAAGCGCAAAATTAATAATGTAATTCAATTTTTTTATAAAATGTCTTATTTCGTGCAGATTAGTTCTCGGTTATGGAGTCTCGAACTTGATCGAATTTCTGTACAGTTGCTGATAGAGCAGCACGTAAGAACAGGTATCCCCTATCAACGATCGATCTTCTTCGATAAAAATTGCTCGCGAAAATTTGCGCGAACGAATTCATCCGACGACGCCGATTTTTACATTTTCTATCCTTAACCTGATGCGCGCCGAACTTCGACCGAACCCGCACCTTTTTCCAACTCGAACGAAGACGAGGCTCGCGGTAAAATGTGATCACGAGCCAGGACCAGAACATCGCGTCTAATCCACCCATTACTATTCATTGCCACACCGCTGTCAAACCGACGGATCTAGCCGAATTATTCTCGTCAATCTGAACTCTATTGGGAGTACGGATTCGCGCTCGTGTTCGCTCGCTTCGCGACCTCTTCCTGATCCTTTTCTCCCTCCCTCTCTCTCTCTCTCTCTCTCTTTTATCCCCTCGCGCTCGATTTCATCCTCGATGAAAGCCTCGAAAAAGCATTTCACACGCGCTTTATTCGTCCAAGATCGTCGTTAACAATCTAGAGAGAGAGAGAAAAAAAAAGAAAAATCTTCGATTCCTTCTCATTCCTTATCGATCTAATTAAGACTAATATTGAAAGAAAAAAAACGTTTGTTATGTCGGCCCGTTATTAAGCGCAGAAACTCGCAAGGACAACGTGGAGCCGATGCAAATCGGGATTTGTCGTGTCGATAGCATCGTCGAACACCGGTGATTAGGGTTCAGGTACTAACTATTATCGGCTGCGCCTACAATTAGTGTCTTTTAGCGGGCACGGTCTAAATTTTCCAACTGTTTCGGCAAACAACGGATCGGAGGCGTTCCGCGTGGACGATGATACCGGGCTTCATTAACAGTTTATACTCCACTTAACCGGCTCGTTTGTACCGGATTACGCCCGAGAAAATCGCCCTATAAACTCCACCCTCCACCCCGTTCCCGGAACCACGGGAACAGAAGTCTCGTAAAATTATGCAGAATTTCGAGGCCGGGGGGAGGGGGATCTCACTTATGAGAACGTATAGGCGAGTTGGACGTATCGCCTCTATTACGGATTACGTGTTTTCCGATTAACGCAAATTCCATCTGATACACTCGTTCTCTCGATCATCTAGCGATAATCGTTTCTTGCTCAGCCTTGGAGAGAGAGAGAGAGAGAGAGAGGAGGAGGGGGTCTATTTCGATGAGAATTTATCACGGGTTCCCCGTGATTTCTTGCTCCGATTATTCCTAGAAATTGAATTCTCAGATAATCGAGCGATATGCAAATATAAATATGCAAATATCGCGACTCGAAAAATAAAATAAATCGAATCCATTTCAGAATATCGATCGCGCGTCGTTAATCACCCGCGATTCCGATGCTTCGACGACGAGGCGAATGTTTTCCTTCGGTTATAGTATATATCGACGTGTACCACGCGTTTCTCGCGGTTTCTCGCTAATTTCGTAAACGACATCGTTGATATTGTTCGTCGATCTGCCGTCGAGGCGACCAGACCGCGAATCGCGCGAATCGCGAGCAGATCCGTGCCTCTTCGCGACGTGTGGCGACGTGTTTGACGAGTGTCGGGGGTTAGTTGGATCGGTGATGAACGGTGGTTCGATCGGTGGCGTATACGTTTTCTAACGATTCATCCGTCGAATCGTGCCTTTCGCGACACATTTTCCGCCAAATTTTTCCACGAAATTTCGTTTTATTTTCCTAATTCGATTCGAGTCGGCTCTAATAGAATCCACTCGTTTTCCAACGCTCGGGAACAGTATCGGTTAATTTGTCAACTTGTGAAAGGTAATAACGCGTGCTCTTGTATTATGCACCACATTGCATATTCCGAAATGGGAATTGTTCGCGGAAAAACGGTCGCTGCGTCGAGTTTCGCAAAATTTTCGCACCGCTTTCGAAAATTCGAGCTTCTCGTCCGTTCGTTGAAACGTTGCACGCGAGTTCTACACTCTTGAAAGATCGAGTGACTTGTTCGAAAGACACTCGGCCGTCAGAAATTTCGCCACGACGATCGAGTCGAGGGATCCGCGAAGGCGCTTTCCGAGTGGCTTTTGTGCGATTCGTGGGAATAGTTGGCACGTGAACCCGCGGATAGCGTGACACGGTTCACCGGGATTCGTTTAACGCGATTCAAACGCGAAAGTTGGTTAAAGTTGGTCCGGTTGGTGGGACAACGCGACAACGGCAGCGTCGGCGTTGCGATCGTCAAGTCGGAAATCGCCTTCAATAAAGTGCAACTTTTACCTCTGTCTCTCGCCTCCTCCTCCTCCTCCTCCTCCTTCTCGTCGTCGACGTCGACGAGTTTCGCTTCGTTTCTAAACGAGAAACGAAAACAAGGAGGAAAGTTTCCCCTCTGGAGTTCCTTCGAGGAGAGATTAGTTCGGGGTAGAATCGGTCGTCGAATCGATCCGCGATTCGAACGAGCGGAAAAGAAGAGCGAAAAGAGAGAAGAATTTAATAATTTGGTAGAAATTGGGAGAATTTGTCGTGGGTGTGTTCCTCGTGACGCGTCACGAGCGAGCAATCGCTTTTGTCGCGGCCGTTTAAACGCGACGGGGGCGAGGGAGGAGGAAAAAGAAAGTTGGCCGGCCTGCTAAAAATTCAAAACGCGGGCGAATTTTCCCCGGGAATAAATTTCCAAGTTTCTCGCGCCGAGAACAGCCGAGCAAATACGGCGTCGCGAGCTTATCCAGCATCTGGAAGAAGCTGGAAAGTTTGACGCATTGCCGGTGAATAAACCGAAACGATTGTTACGCAACGTTTGCGCAAAGGGAAAAGGGGGTGGAGAAGAAGTTTTTAACCGTACGTCGTGTGTTACGTGACTTTTACATATATATACATACATACATATATATATATATATATATATATATATATATACGTAATAGCATTTTATAATAATAAAAATATAATAATAAGATATAATAAAAAGAAAGGAGCAACGCTCGATCGCGTCTCTCTCTCTCTCTCTCTTTCTCTCTATTTTTAATCTCCTCCCTTTTCTCGTTTTATATTCACCATTATTTCTTTCAGCCGCTAGTGCTATCCATCGATCCCGAGGACAACGACGATAGACTATGAATAATAGTCAATCCAATATAACGACAACGACGTGAGTAACTGGTAACAATGTATATCCCCGCGCGTTATATACAGCGCGTCGTGATCGAAAGTATATTTTCAAATAACGATATCTGGTGGGGAAAAAAGTTGCGAGTTGAAAAATCGCGATGCGCCGCCATCGATAACCCTATCGTCAGAGGCTGATGGGAAAGAGTGCCTGTTGTCGCCTCGAGGAAGGATGTCGCATTCACGGAGACAAAGCATGTCCTTCACAGCCGTTATGAACCATCGAAGAGGTCTTCTCGGGTAATTCAACCGAAATCTTTTTTTTTCTATCTCTCTCCCCCCCCACCCCTTCCTAATTTTCCCCAAATAATTGCACGTATTGGACGCGTCTCGCACGTGGAACACGGCGACCGATTTAATCGTTCCGGTTAATGCATCAATAACGGGTAAAATATTACAGGGGCAACGGTAGAAACGACGGTGGTCAACGGTGAAACGCGGGAGGGCAAAAAAGCGTAATAATTTTACGATCATTGAATCCTGTTTTCGAACGAAATATTTTCGACGTGACGGTCCACCGACTCGTTTGAATTTATTTCGTTCGGGTGTATCGACGCGAAATCGAGCGGTTGGACACGGTTAAATACCTTGCCGATCCTTTCTGCGAACGCCCACCTGAATCGCTGTTACGTTTTAATCACCGCGCGAAACGCAACCTCTGTACGAATCCCGAATCCCGAATCCCGATGTCGAATACGAAACATTCTCCCCTATTCATCCTGTTCTCCTCCGACAGCGCGTTGATTTCAGGTATAGGCAGCAACATGTCGCTACCCTCGTGCATCCCTCAAGACCAAGAGTTTTTACCGGGTCAAACGGGAACGGGGTGCAAAACGCAATTGTTGTTGAACAATCGGAATCAATCGGGGGAGAAGAACGAGCACGAGGCGCAAAAGCAACGACCCAATTTTCTCCCACTGGCACCTGTTGGCGCTGGTTGCGTGAGCGTCAACACTCTGGATCCAATGAAAGGTGAGCACTTTTCAAAAAACGATTCGACACCGATTTTGAGCAGAGATTTTGCCTTGTTCGACGTTGCAGCGAAGCAACGGATGATGGAAGAGAAATCAAAGTCAACGGAGAGGAGGAATTGCCACGCGGAAATGGTGTCCATCACGAGCACCCTTTACGCGAAATTGTTGATCGTGATAGGGTTAGCCGTGCCCATAACGGCCAGCGTGACGGAGAGAGTTCCAGCTTCGTTGAATCAGGTGACGGATAGAAAAAAAGAAAAAAAGGATAGATCTTTCTCTCTGCAGATGAATACGTAGATGACGATGGAATGACGCCTGTTTGTTAGGGTTTCTATTTGTATCTGTACGTGGTCAGCGTGGCATTCGTGATCTCGATGTACGTAATCGTATTAAGAGACAAAGCTGTTTGGAATGTGAAGCGGAGGAGCGGAGGGGGGAAGGAGCAGGCGTTGAAATACGACGAGAAGGGGGATCGCGTAAATCCTAGTCAGGTAAAGTTTGCTCTTCGAAAATATTTAATCGCTTCGAAAATTAACTTGGAATCACGTTTCACGACGTCGTTACCCCCTTGCGACCACCAATGTTTGTCTTTGACAAAGTGTCACGAAGGAAGGCGGCGATCAGGGATCGCGATCCCTTTTCAGGTGTCCCGACCTGCGCGATTGTTGACTGTCACGAGGCCAATTACCCTCGTGACTCTCGCGCTCGCGTTAACGCCCGGCCATTGAATAATTTGTAGAAAAAAAGGAAAAAAAAAAAAAAAAAAAAAAGGGAGAAAAACAAATGTTTCGCAGCGTAAACCAGCGTGAAAATCCTCGGGCTCGCCATTTTCTAATTAGCGGATCGCATTCAACCGGCCGTGCACACGTACAATGAAATCTTTGTTTCCCACCAGACGCAACAGTACGGGAGCTTTTGTCTGAGACTCGGCGCTGTGGGATTTGGCGCTGGCTCGTTGGTATTTACGGGATTGCAAATTGGGGCGGAAATAGCTTCCGGCCCGTTCAGGGCGATTACACCGGGTGCCAGGCTGCTGCTGGTCACGGCCCAGATGCATTTTATATTTCTCAACAGTAAAAGTCTCAGCTTGGCCAAGCACACCGCACTTGCCAAGTTAGGTCTGATGCACATGATCGCGACGAATCTCTGCGAGTGGTTACAGGTAAGCGGAATGAAATGGAGGGGGAAAAAAAAAAAATAAAATAGAATAAAAAGATAAAAATAAAAATAAACAAAACAAGAAACATTTTTCATCGCGGAAATCGGGGGGAGATTGTTTGAACAACTTGATACATTTTATCCACCGACGCAACGCTCGAAAAGCGAATCAAAAACGAATTACCGGTACCGGTATTTGAGTCATCCGAGTCAATTTGTCGTCATCATCATCATCGTCGTCATCGTCACTATCGAATATCGATACGTAGGAAAACAATATAACGAACGATAACCCGATCGAATAAAAGGGAAAGAACGTGGACAACGATATCACTTTGATCCAACATTTCGATGACTTTTATCTGGAAACGAGCGATCGGTATCGATTAACACCGCGTAACACCACTTATTGGCGGAGGCCAAACGCGCTGTTTATTCATAGAAACGTTCTCGACTCTCTCCCTCTCTCTCTCTCTCCTCTCCGTTTTCATCCTCGATCAAAATCGTTGGTCGTTTCGGGAAACGAGGAGGGACGAGGAGGCATACGTACGATAACGTATTTCGTTTCGTGCGTTTCGTTTCCCCGTTTGTTCCACGCACGAGTATCGATACGCGCGCGTCGCCGTGAATTTTTCACGCGTCCTCAGGCATTCCGTTTGTTTGGCAAGGCGTTGGTCGAGGAAACGCAGCACGAGATCGATCAGCTAGGCGACACGCACGACGACGATGACGGGATACTGAAATCGCTTCTGAGGGACGCGAGCCCGTTCCTTTTCCCGTGCACAATTGAATTCAGTTTAATTTGCGCGGTGATACTGTTCGAGATGTGGAAGAGGGCGGACGAGAGGATCGATGCAAAGAGCGAGACCCCGGCCAGATCTTCGTATCATCTTAGCATAGATTGCAGCAGCTCTCACAGGTCAGCTTGGAAGAAATTTAATTAAATCGATAGGATTTCCCTTTCCCCGTTAATTTGTTAATGCGATATCGTTGAGATTTTTAACACTGTTAAAATCCGCTTCCTCTTCTACGCCTTCTTTTCTTTTCTTCTTTTTCTTTCTTCCAGAGGTCTCTTCGGCGGGATATTGATCGTTGCGGCGACTATATTGAGCTTGATCATGTTCTTCGTCCTGAAGGAGACGAAAATGGAGATTGCGATCGTTCAGGTCACCGCGCTCGACGCCACTATACTCACGTTAGGTAAATTTCGATGGCAATTTTTATTTTTTTTCTTCCTCTCTCTTCCTCTCTTTCTCTCCTCTTTCCTTTCTTACTTGGAGCCATTGAAATCGAAAGGAGGGATCGATGATCGATAGGTATGATCGCTTCGATCGCGGGCACGTTGAAGTTGCAAGCGTTGCAGCAGAAGATTATCAAACCATCGGACTTGGACACCACGCTGTTGGCAGCGGCTCAAGCCGGGGTCTATCTGCATTGTCTGTTCGGGGTTGTTGGTGATATATTGACAATGGGACCGACCTGGGCGTTATCGTTGATCACAGATTTGTTGGCCTTAATGCAGAGCACCAGCCAGACGTTGCTCATCAAAGTAAGAAATTGATCGTTTCGTTCAAGGGAATGAATCGCGTTTGAATGAAACCAAACCACCACGTTCGTCGATCAACGTTCAAAAATTCGTAGATCGCATGGGGAAGACGTTGTTCGAGAAACGACAAACCCGGCAAGGAATTAATCACATTCCTAATAGTCGTCAACATCGCGTTGTGGACGGTGAACACTCTGGAGAAATCTCGCGCGGGTGTCCGTCCGGATCATCTGCGATTCTTCGGAGTATGGGCATGGACGATTATCACACACGTGTCTATGCCATTGGCTATATTCTATCGGTTCCACTCGGCCATATGCCTGTTCGAGATATGGAAGACGTGCTACAAATGCAGATCGAACAGCGTCGTCCATACACCCTACTGAATCATCGATTATTCGTTCGAAACGAATGTTGATCCCTTAATAGTTCGTTGAATTATTTAACGAAATTGTTACTTTTAATAAAAAGCGAAACTACGAGGAGAAAACGAAAAACGCGTTCGATCTCGTTTCTCTTTAATTAACCATTTAACCGAGAGGAGGAGGGAGGGAAGAAAAGGAGCGATTCTCCTTGGAGAATAACAACATTACGAGACTCGCAAAAGGTAGACTTGTCCGCAACGTTTACGTAGTACGTTGCACGGTAACTTCTAAGCTGGCTCCAAAGACAAAGGGTAAAAGGGGCGCAGTTTCAAAGCTGGTGGTGCTCCGTGGTGGGCCGACGACGTGGACGAGGACGGGGACGAGGGCGCGACGTGGCATGGCCGACGCGAATCGATAGAGAGGGGTGCGTACTACTTTTATCGGTGTACCACACGGAAAAGATAGACGGTAACGATGATGGTGGACGGTCGACGGTTTGATACGGTTTACGGTAAACACATTTCGGTAGCAATCACATCACGGGGAAAGCAAGCCTCGGCCGCCGGCTGCAGCGAGAAGTAGGTGATGCTTGGGTGGTTGGAGAAAGCGAGCGAGTGGTCGGTGAAGAGCTCTTAGCCAACCCTTTGTTGCTCCTGCCACCGCTGTTGCGTCCCTCTTCCTTCCTTCGTCGCTCCTCCAACCCCTCCCGCTCCCCTCCCTTCCAACTCCTAAACGGAGCGCACTCTTGACCAAAGGCCTCTGATTTACTTAGCCTATCGAGTGCTCTCGGACTCGTCTCGACCAAGAATACCACGTACGCGTGTTCGCCGTGTACACCGTGTTCCGAAATTTCCAACTTAATGCTCCACTTACTGTCCGTCCATCTTCCGCGCCGAGATTTCCTCATTGCCCGCCCGCCCTTGTGTAAATAACTTTCAGTTGGAGGAGGAAATTGGAACGTCCCAACATCTCCTCCACGATTTCGTTCCCTCGCGTTTTTCTCGAACGAACGTGTGTAAAGTGTCGCGAATCGATAATCGTTCCGAGGAATTTTGCCGAAAAAGAAAGAAAAAAAAAAAAAAAAAAAAAAGAAAGAAAGAAAAACGCGCATGAATCTTCTTTCGCGAAAGGAGAAAGAACGGAGGGTGTTTGGTTGGCAATCCTCTAACGTAGGTTTTGTTTTTTTTCCGGATTTAAACCGGGGATTTACCTACGTGTCTACGCCGACCGGCCTGCCTACCACCACCGGCATCGAATGCAATCTGCAACGCGCAACTGCAATGGCGAGAAAGAGAAATCTTAGATTCGCCCTCCTACGGGGCCGGATATCGATGACCGTGTACAACGTGCTCCAACAAAATCGCCAGGAACTGGAATTTATTCGAAACGAATGGCGCGTGCGACTATGAATGAAATTCGTATGTCAATCTAGCGCCATCAGTCGCAATCCATTTACCTAATTTAATTTACCGTGGAATTTAAAGTCGCCCCATAAGCGGGGATCGTAATTGTCGTATAACGAGTCATCTATTAACGATAATAGTTATTATCGGGTTGAATCGGCCACGCAACGAGAATATCGATTATTATTAACGACGAGATTATTTATAGCGGGTACGCCTTGAAAGCGAAATAATCAAGGACCGTGCGCGAATTTGCATTTAACATTCCGCAACGTATGCGAAAACAACATTTCGCGCGAATTCAACCATTTTCGCGATAATTCGGAGAACGGTGGAACGCCCCTTCGATCGGTCATGGAAAAATCTCGCAATTTATCGGGTTTACCTATCCTGTCGATTCCACGTTGGCAGGAAGGAAACGGGGAGAACGGAAAAAGAGGAAAAGGCGATGCGACAGCGACAGGACGAGGAAACCTTGATATATCCGCCAAACACAAGGAGAGAGAGAACGCCTTGGCGGATTTATCGGAGCCGCAGATAATGGATGGTCTTCGCAGCAGGGAAACTTTTTTAAATAATACAACGTGCAACTCTTGCGGAAACGCTTCGATCCTACGGCGATTCGAAATACCGCTTATATATATATATATATATATAGAGGAAACTGCATCCCCCCTTCCTCTTCTTCCTCGCAAATACCGCGGGGAAAATAATGGTTCGCCAAAAAGTGCAATAGCCAATTTCTTGTCGTGATGTCGGGCATGGTCATCATCGCTGCGAGGGTGAAAACGTATCGATACGTGAAATCATCGAGCGTTCGAAATAAAATTATCTCCGGTGAGCGCGGAGCGTAAAGGAGCCCGTGCGAAGGGTCAGCGGCGGTTCTCTTTCTCGACCCAATTACACGGGGCTTTAATGAATTTTCGATATACTCCGCCGCTACGTAAAGCGCGGTGATAAAAAGAACCGGTAAAAACAAGTAAATTATTCGGTGGCTGTCGATGCGGCCGAAATAAGAGTTGGAAGGACGAGACTTTGGCGAAAGAAATGACAGTGGTATTAGCGGAACAACTACCACCATCGGCAAATACCATCGGCGGTGGTAGTCGATTGGACGATCCTCGGGAATGTATTTAATTCGATTGGACTCTGCCGCCATCTGGACGAGACAAGAGAGAAGAAGGGAGGGTGACTCGAAGCTGGGGTGAGGGAACCTCTGTTTCCGCCGGAAATGAGACCTTCGCGACTCGTACTCCCATCCTCCGCTACCCCTTTTGCCTCCTCCTCAACGCCCTCTCGAGCCTCCTCAACCCGGCTGTGGTCGTTCCCCTAACCGAAACATCTATCGCCCTCTATCTCGAGGGCGAGAATGCAAATTGTATTTATATTCCATCTCTCGTGGCCAGATAAATATTTCAACCAACCATGCTTACCTGTGTTTCCCGCGAAACTTGTTTTCTGGGGATCAGAATTCTGGGGAAATCATTGAAATCCACTTCCCGAGTTATTCGCGTTTCCCACTTTTTACAATCTTCACCGGTTTTCCTTCTTCTTCGTTTCTTCGCTTCTCTTCTTCTCTCTTTCGAATATTTAAATTATAAATATTTATCAATATGTGTGTGTATGTGTGTGTGTATATTGCAAAATTCTAATTCCTCTGGTCGAATGTGCGATTGAAAATAACCATAATGATTTGACAGATAATATCGTCGATCGCTCGATCGTTTATTGCGATTTGATTCGATTTGCGATTGAAATGCGTACTCGTGTTTCGAGGAATTAAAATATAAACGAATCCTATCATTTCTATGATATCGTGTTTCCTGCTATGACAAAAACTGCACAATGGACGAAAGTGAACATCTTAATAAAAAAAAAAAAAAATAAAAAAAATAGTAAAAAAGTAGACGAAACGAGGAAAAATTAGAGTCGAAAAGGCTTACTAATGCTCTCTCGCAGCTCCCATGAATGTCGCTTGGTCTCCGAGGATGTAATTTTCGCTGTATGCCCGGATTAGAAGCCAGCTCGTCGGGGGTTCCACGTTATGCCGCTTGATAAGTATTGCCCATACCTCTTGAATACACTAGAACTGGAAAAGGGATTCGAGATGATCTCAAAGCGATCGATTGGCCTCGACATGACGTCACGGGTCACGGCGATAGGCTGCTGTTATGTCTCGTTAAGAATCCAGGTACTATAATAGCACGGATTAATGATAAGAACATAAGGGCGAAGCAACCATGCAGAGTGTTGAAACGTAAAAGCTATTATTACGATACCTGTCGTTGCTACTTCAGCGAGATTGATTTTACTTAATGTCTCGAGAGAAAAAACTTCGTCGACCTTCTCGGATACCTAAATCTTAAGAAACCAATAAGTTTATAGTATATAAATATGCAATATATATAATTTTATATATAAATTTTTTTATATTACATTTTTTATAACATATATATATTTTATTCAAAAATATTAAAAAATTTTTCAACCTTATATTATGTGTCTCGATGAAATCGATATCCATTTAAAATATAAAAATTGCTGATCGAAAGAGTGGATTATACGAGCTTGCTATTCTTGAGAAAAGGGAGGACAAAACTTTTGCTAGACGGTATTTCTTAAAATCAGGTAAGCGGATCATTGGAAAATTCGGTAAAAAAAAAAAAAAAAAAATTCAAGGAAAAATTTATCGATGTAAAATACTCCCTTCCTATCTTTTTAACTCCAAATGATTTCCAAATTTTTCTGTAAAATTATCAATAATTTTTAATAATATGATACAAAAACATATTCAATGATTCATATGAAATATTATTATTTAATTCATGATATTTCTTTATTTAAGTCCTTAAGACTAAGAATTACATTGTTATATAATGCATAACCGACAAGATAAGAAACTTTCAATAGTTTTTCTGCTGATCCAACTCAATATATATACCATTATAAACTTGATAGTACTGGTGCAATAATGTCTTAATCACATTGTGTTTCAAGCGAATTTTTACTTTATTTTCCTCATCTGAAGTGCTGCAAAGACGCTCATAGATATGCCACCGATTTTTTTTAATGATAATGTCACAACAAATTATTTACTTGTCTTTTATTCACACATATACTTAAACTTGCATCGGCTTTGGCATTCTGGAGGGTTCGGATATCTGCGGTAATTGAACACACTCAGCTAATGACCGTATCTAAAACAAACGTAAAAATAATAATTAAATTATAATTAAATTTAAATATATGAGAAAAAAAAAAATACACATATTACATATATGAAAATCTTTTGTGCTTCTTCTACAAACACACAAATAATTTTCAAAAGCTTTAAGAAGCCAATAGTGTATTGTTGTATGCTGTAAATTGCACTTACTTTTGGAACTCCCACTCTCGATTATCGAGTGGACAAACTTGTCGAGTCTTCAACCAACGTGAGATGCAATGGAAATGGAATGCATGCTATGCGAAAAAAAATGTCAAAAAATTAAAATAAAAAGTTAAAATATCTTACTTGAGCAATTGACACTAAATATATATTAACTTAAATATGTATTAATAAAAAGCTATGATGATAAAAATCATACATTGCATACACCCCAAGCTACGGTACATTCTTCACTAGTGGCTGATGCTTGATTTGCTTGGCATTCAATACATAAATCCATTATATGATTACGGCAGATTGCGCAATTATCTACTACAATATCTGTAAAATAATAAATTAAATAATTATTGATAAATCTTGTCATAAAAAATGTGTTAAAACAATCATGTTATAATTTACGATATATTATTTATATAATTAAATTCACGATTACATACCCCATGCCCATAGAGCCACAGCATTCCACTGCAATATAAAATTGAGTACTTTTAACTAAATATTATGTATAAATCATATGAACATAATAATAAAAATGACAATGCAAAAATGAGGTTAGAATGTGAAGATCAACTTCTTAAAATTGAAAGAATTTATACGTGTTTTATAAAATATTTCTTCTAATTCTTTATCTCACCTTTTTTACTTCAAAACGTTTTTTTTCTCCTTTACTACTACTCGAAGTTGGTAAATCACTTTCTTCATCGTCAATTTCCATTGCCGACGCCATATTTAAATTTTGATATCTGAAGCCAACTGACACCTTGTGTAAGACATTCGAACTATGTAAGAAGAAAGATTAAACGACAAGAAAAACGTAAATTTTTTTGATTAATAAACATTTTGTGCGCGTTATAAATCGTTATATCGTATATTTTTTAGTGTCTCGAGTTTGTGTTGAAAAAATGTTCAAGAATCAGAACATGTATCATAAGAAAAATATATAGTAGTGTTATTGTATCAATACTAGGTTAATGTTTTGTGAAAAAAAAATTGATACGGTATCGGTTATACTGAAAAAAATATGACAGTTAGTACCTTAATCATATAAAAACTGGATAAAAGCATTTTAATTTTGCATCAGTGTAATTTCTAATCGTATTTTCATAATCCATACTATTGTATAAAATATATTGCACGATGAGGCGAAAGGCAGGCGTTGGTGCTATCCAAAAACAAAAGCTGGAGCAAGAAAAATATAAAGATAAGGGAACTGAGATTCAAGAAAATCAATTTGAGCAAATGACAAAACAGATGGAAACTTTTCGTGTGAATCTAGAGGAATTCGCAACAAAGTATAAAAATGAAATTAAAAAAAATGCACGTTTTCGGCGGCAATTTACCGAAATGTGTGCATCAATAGGTGTAGATCCTTTAGCCTCAGGTAAAGGATTTTGGTCAGTTCTTGGCATAGGAGACTTTTATTATGAACTTGCTGTTCAAATTGTTGAAGTTTGTATGGCTACAAATTATAAAAATGGTGGATTAATATCATTGGATGAACTTAGAGCAAGATTAATTCAAGCTAGAGGTCGTAGAAAAGAACATCAAGAAATTACAAATGAAGACTTACTAGCTGCAGCTAAAAAATTAAAAATTTTTGGAAATGGATTTTCTATTGTTCCAATTGGAAGAGGTAAACACTTAGTACAATCTGTACCTGGTGAACTCAGTATGGACCATACTGCTGTACTACAACAAGCTAGTTTATCTGGAAATGCATATGTTTCAAGATCCATGTTATGTAAAGAATTAAAATGGGAATCAGATAGGACACAGAAAGCTTTGGACCATATGGTAAAAGAAGGATTGGCATGGTTAGATGAACAAGGTGAAAATGAAATATTATATTGGTTTCCTAGTTTATTTACAGCTTGCATTGTATCCAAAGAATAAGCAAAATATTGACTTTATAATGAATAGATAGACAGTGTTTTAAAAGAATAAGATATTTGCAATATAAAATGTATTTTTAATGTGAATAAATTTACATTATTCTTGTAACATATACACAGTTAAATATCCATTATAAATTTCTTGTAAGTAAAGAAAAATATTGTCACCTAATTTCATTTGGCTCATTAATTCTGAAAAAAGATGTAGATTATAGATAATTTAAAATATCTTATTATTACATCAATACAGTAAATATACACACACACTTTTGTATATCTTGAATTGCATGTTGTGCCAATTGTTGTTTGCAATTTAATAATTCTTTATGTAATTCATTGTTTTCTTTTTGTAAAATATTCATCTTTCCCCTTTGTTCCTTAGATTTTCCTTGAAATTTAACTGTCAAAGATTTTGCTTCGTCTCTCCATCTAAAATATAAATTAATAAAAAGATATTTTCAATGATCATTTTTTATTCATGTAAAAAATTTGCATACTTTTTACTTAGTTTTTGATGAATTTGAACATGATTGATTAATTCCTTTGTTTTCCTGTCAAACTTTTCCTGCAGTTTATTCATATGATCTGATAATACAGATTGACAACAATGACATTTGTTTTCTACTCTATAATAAAAATGTTACATGTAATATCATTTAATTTGATATATATTTATATTTTATTATATTTATATTTACTTACGTTATATCAAAACTAGGTTTAGCTTTAATATTATATGGATTTATTTCATTAGTGATATTATTTTTCTGATTATTTTCTCCTATACAAGTTGCTTTATGAAGATTAATTTCCAATTCCCGAATTTTATTTTCAAGAGAATATTTTTCATTATCTCTTTTTTGTATTTCATATTCAAAATCATGTTTCAATGATTTTAATTGCATTACAAGATTTTCCTTATCATCTAATGTTTTAGCTAATTGATTTTCTAAATCAGAATATTGTTTCATTTTATCCTTATTTTCGCTATCAGTTTTTTTTATTTGGTCTTGCGTGTTAATAGTTTGTTGTTGCTCTAGCTTTTGTAATTTATCATTTGAACTGCCTAATTTATCTTCAAGAATAATAATTTTTTCTTTTAATTGTTTAATTTCCACATCATATTTGTTTTTAGCTATTGTTTCATCATATATTTGTAATTGAAATTCCATACGTTTTGCTTTTTGTTCATATTCCAATATTTTCACGCTAGAATCTCTACGTATTTTATTCAATTCTTCTTCGATAAATTTTAATTCTCTTTGAGCTTTTTCCGTTTCAATAATTTTTGTCTTTAATTCTGATTTAAGTTCATTAATCTCTGTTAGATATTTTTTTGTATTTTGCTCAATTTCATCTCTAGTAATTTTATTCAACTCTTGTATTTTTCCATCATATTCATTAGCTATTACATTTAATCTATGTTCTAATCTGGTTTTCTCTTCCAATACAAGAGCTTCACGATGTAATATTATATCTTTTTCCCTAACTGCAGATTCTATTAATTCAATAGCTTCTGCCATCTTTTTTTTTGTTTCCTTGTCTCTTTCCATCACATTATCAGCATATATTTTAACTTCATTTAATTTTTTTTCCAATTCCAATTTTGTTTGTACTATTTTATTGGTTTCTGTTTTAGCATAAGCTAAATCTTGTTTTAATGTTTCTATTGTCAGTTGGTTATTCCTATCTTTTAAAAAATAAAAATAATATCTCTATTTGTTATAATATATTATATATATTAAATGTTACTGACCTCTATCTTGAGTATTCATTTGAAGATTTTTATATTTCTCCAAAAGTTCATCTTTTTCTTTAGTCAAATTATTAATTTTTTCTTTATTTGTTTCATACAGTGTTTGATATTTTATGAAATTATCTTTGGCCAAGGCTAGTTTTTCCTCCAACATTTTAATAGCTTCTGAATAACTTTCTTTAATAGCATTAGCTTGTTCTTGATAAAACTTTGTTCCTTTTCCATCTATATGAAGTCCTTTTAATTGGTCCTCTAAGGCACTTATGGTATTTAAGGAAATATGCCAGAGTTGCATAGCCGAATCTTTTTCTGATTCTAATAATACAATACGCTCTTGTAAATTCCCTATTTCTTTTTTATGTGCATCTTGATTATCGCATTCTTCCAAATGAATACGATTTAAGGATTCTTTTATATCATCAACTTTTTGGCCTTCATTTCGTAGAATTTCTAATTCGGCTCGTATATTATGTTGTTCTATCTAAAAAAGAATATATAATAAATATACGTAATGTTTACAATATGTAATTAATTTTATACCTTGCATAAATGCAAGTCTTGTTTAAGATTTTCCACGAGCACGTGTTGTTCTTCTAGTAACATATATTGCTCTGAGCTATTGATAAAAAAAAGTTTATCAAATATATTTAACGTAAATAAAGAGTATAGATATATAAAGCTAACCTTAAAGCTAACCTTTGTTTCTGAGCATCATGTTCTGTCATCATCGTGCATTTTATCTTTATAATGATATATCTTTTGTAATATTATGTCATGCTGAGAAACATGATGGAAAATATAGTATCTGTTTAATTTATATTTGCAATGTTTTGTGAGATATTTCAAATAACATTATTTAGACACGACGCGTAAACATCAACATTACTTTTTACCGATAGTGCATAAATGCATGTATTTAACAGGAAGATCGATAATACTACATAAAATTTTAATATCTTACTGTGTATTTAAAGCATTGTAATAAAATGAATATATTGAAAAAGTGAATTTAAACGTTTAACCGTAAAACATTTTCCGTTGTAAAGTATAAAATATCATATAAACAGATGATATAATACCGACTGACGATGATTCACAACAAATTTATCATTTACCAACAAATAAATGCTTCAAACAATCAATATTTATAAAAAAATATATATATAACTACTGGGAAAAAATTAAAAATAACAAAAATAGAAAAATATATTCATATTGAAAAAATAATTTATTCGTATTATCGCAAAAAAGGTTTGTTTTTAACGAGCGTCTTTATTAAATTGTTCATAAAAGGCTGCGGTTGCTTTATTTTTATAAAGCACATAATTGAGATATTCCTGATGAGATTTTTGTTGCTCCGCTAATTCCAAATTCTCCTTTGCTATTTTCTTTTTAATTTCCCTGAAATATTAATAAAGATTTATCTAATTCTCACATTTCACTACGCATGAAAAACAAAAGTTTTTACGCTTTCTTCCGATCAATTTCACGTTGATACGAATCTGCGATCTCGGTTTGGGTAGCCATCAATCGATCCCACTCTTCGTCCCTTCGTTTCTCCTCTATTTTCATTTCCTGGAAAAAGAAGTTTTCCTTGAGCGAGCCAAATTTTTTGTATCCCTGACCGTGCTCTCGCACGGCCATGACAACGATTGGCACCGTTTCAACGATCTGCGGTGCATCGTTAAAACCGTGTAAAACAACCGTTCCATCATTCGTCATTTACCTTGATTTCTTTCAGTTGGCGTGCTTGAGCCTCCCTGAAAACCTTAAGCTCGTCCGCAGTCATGCCCTTGTAACGTGAGGCCAACGGTTTGTGCGGTCCATGAATGCTCTCCGCCTGCTCTTTGGCTTCCGTAAGGAAGTCCCCAGTCACGTGATTGTAGATATCCGCCTTCTTGTCCTCCTCCTCTTGAAGGGCTTCGCAACGGCGACGGTATTCCTGTTCCTCTGCCTATCGTTGGAAGGGGAAAAACGGAGCCGGTCATTCGACCAAAACATACGTCCAACGGAGCGTGTCAGCTCGAAAAGAGAAAAAAAAAAAAAAAGTCAAGGACGGGAACGCGTGGAAAGAGATGGGGAAGCGATTGGATGATCGTTCGCCGTATTATTACCGAGACTCGTGAGTCGATGACGTCACCAAGTTTGCTCATCGACCGTATAGCAGCCTCGCCATCACTGTAAACGGTGCTCACCTTCGGCGAAGGTTTATGTTAACTGTGTGTGGATCGTGTTCAGGACGCGTGTTAAGCGACCGAGTAACAATGATGATTCGCTCATCGACGATACGGTGACACAAGGGGAATATCATTAGCGACCAGAACAGAACACTCGTATCAAGAATAACGAGATTTTGTTACCGTTCAACTTTGACATTTCACGGTTCAACGTCATTGGCTCGTTCTCGTGACAAGAGAAGAGGCTTACGAGAGGGAGATTTTAAATCAATCAATGCGATGGAGAGTCATCAAGCGTTAATTATCTGAATTTTCACTTTCTCGTCGTACACGAGCATCGATACCAACACGCAAATAACTAGGAGAGTATCAGAACAAAGGTTTGTGCTCCATCTCTATTCGTGTGAAAAGATTCGATTTTCCTTCATGTATGGAAAATAGAATTGTCGGATAATAAGATTCTTATCTTTTTCTTGCAGTTTCCGAAACACGCAGTTCCCGGATGTTTGATCAAAGGACTTAAATAGAAGAAAGCCTTACCATGGCTTGATTAAATCGTGCGGTGGCTTCGTTCAACTTTCGACGACAATCTTCTTCCATCTGAGCTATCTTCATGGCACGCTTGTCTCTGGAAAGGATGGCTGCTTCTTGGGCTTTCTCGAGTTCCTTTCGTTCGCTCTCGGCGGACTGATGTTCTTGCATTTGTTTTTCGAACCACCACCTCATCTCTTCCTTCTTTGCCTTCGACTTTTCCTTAAAATCATCCTCTTCACTTTTTAATCTGCACGGTTTTTTGGAAAAAATTAAATATTTTAACGAAATTATCGGAGAGAAATGGAATCAATCGTGGCAATAATTACAGCTCGCTGAAGGATAGATCGCGTTCGCCTTTTTTCGGCAGCTCGCATTCCTGGCGTTGTTGATATTGCTGTCTATAATGCTCGATCTCTTTATGGATCTTTCGCCTTTCCTGGAATATCAATCACAGATAAAACGTGTAATCCTAGTTTCGCTAAGAAAGAAGAAAAGAACAATCAAGTAGACGGATGAACGTAAGAATCTTTAATTTAATGATGCGATTAATCATCGTGGCTGCTTTTTCGCCAATAATTAACAATTTACCTCTTCTTGTTGTTTCTCCAATAGCAAACCGATCTTACAACTTTGAAGCAAAATCTCGTCGAGTTCGGATTCTCGGGCTTCTTCCAGTTCACGTTGCTGCTTCTTTTCCTCGACCTGTTTGTCCAAGAATTCCTTGTCTATCTGCGAAAATTACGTTATAAAAATCGTTATCGGACGATAATGAATCACAATACATATCGTTCTTTCGCGTGCGGATTCTTTTTTTATCATTTCACACGAATGCACACGAATCGATCGTATAACACGCTAACGAATCTGCCGTGACTAAAGGACTGAAAACACTTTGCCCCCATGAGACTTACCCCGATTTTCCTGAATCGTGCATTGAAAATCCGTTCCTTTCTCTCTGCCTCGATCTGCCGCCTTCGTTGAACGGCTGCGGCCAGTTTCAGCTCCTCTTTGGTCGCGGTTTGAAACTTCAGCATCGTGCCAAAATTTGATCTACGCGAGGACGAACGTAACCAGAGCCCGAGTGTGAGCTTAGCCACGAAAGCCGCAAGAATCACGTGGAATTCGTTACCATGGAGCGTTTGGACGATAAACGCGTTACTGCCTCGTCGCAAAATTTAACACAATCTTTCCCATCGAAATTAGAACTCTAGAATTCCCGTTTATCGATCAAGAAGAATTTTTTTCTTTTTTTTTTTTTTTTTTTTGGTAATTCCTTATCCATTTATCTAAATCGATTGATCAATAAGATTAATCGTGGTGTATTTAATCGAGTTCGAATTCAAGATGATGAAAATATTTAATTGACATACATTCGATCGAATTGTTAAGGATATTTGCATGAAAGAGTCACGTGAAGAACAGCTATTGAAAGCGTAAACATGTGTCGCGCTATCTGTTGATTCGACGAAAATCATTACGGATGATTCGTGACTTTGCACATATTATCATGGTTCTTGTGTATCGATCGATGTAAAGCTCGTAACATACTAGATAACCGTAGCAATTGCTGCTCGGTTCAGACGGGAATAAAAGAACGAATTTAGTCGCCTTCCTTTTATTTCTTTGTGAGGACGTTCGTTTCGCATGACACGGTGACTCAGTGACGACGAGTCGCTTCGTTTTCTTTAACAATGAGAACTCGGTAACGAGAACACGAATCGAATATATGCATTACACTTGAGAATCGGTGTCGAACATACGTGGAAATCGTCGTTTATTAAATATTCTTGACTCAAGCCGTTTTACGCAAATCCCAAGAAGCTCGAATAAATCGTTGTGAAAGGCAAAGCCTCTTTACTGCTTTCAACTGAATACGATGAAAAGAATATTACGCTACCGCTGACCGTGTACCGGTGAGCATAGATTTTAAGGAAGTAATCGTTTTATCGATTATCGAGGGTAATTTGTGTTTTTCTATTTCACCGAAGATTACGGAAATTTATTAATATTCCCGGAAAAAATGAAAAAAGAAATAAAAGGCGATAAACTCGAAGAGAGTTTTCGTTATTCTTTAACTGCGTAGCCGTTGGAAAAACCGAATTATTTATTAATAATAGGCTTAATTTTCCTGCTAATTATTTCTCTATTCGTGATGATTCTGGTGTTAAGTATTCCGCTCGAGCTCCTCGAGCGATTGATATTCTTTTATGCGTCATTGACAAACAACACAGTTTTCAAACAATGCAAATCGCCATCGTTACTGACGCGAGTTTTTCATTCTTGTCAGAACGTATTAAAACGAGCTCCATTCACGAATAATGATTCTAATTGTTCGTCTAATGGGGAAACACGTGCCTTCGGGTGACCTATATCCGGAATATCGAGCCATATGGTAGTAGATTACCAGTATAGATCATAAAAAAGAGATTACACGAATAAACTATCTGTCTATAAGATAACACGATACCAAAAATATACGGTAAAACTGGACGAACCAATCGTGAAATTCAATTTTGTATCTATGGAAAGAGGGGAAGATATTTGATTAAATTGACTTCTCGTCAATCCGATCTTATGATACAAAAGCTCTTAATGAAACATCTACGAGTTTTGTTTGAATAATCGTTGAAAATAAAATTGAAAATAAACAAATTGAAAATAAAAAAAATTTGTACTTCCCTTTTTTTCTTTTGAATAATATTATATATATATATAATTGATATTAATTTATATGGATTTAATGATCATTTGATTTGGAGTGCTGTGCGTCATAAATAAATTTTTTTTTAGAGTTAAGAGATTAAGAAACTGGTCTTTTGCGTCTTAAAATAAATTCTTAAAATTCGCATTGAATTTTTCATTAAAACAATCGAAGAACTTTAACCTCTTCAAGAATTTATTAATTCGTCAGGAAAAGATAATTATTTTTTACTACTCAACGATATATTTTGACGGATATTGTACGAAGCAAATAATATTAAAAAATATTTTGAAAAACCTGAGAAAAATATAAACAAAAAATATACACATATGTATTCATTGCATTTTTTTGTATCTTATGAAACATACATGAATCAAACGAAAACGTATGTACATATATACGCCATTATCTCTCAAATAAAAAATCAAACCTACGTTGAAAGAAAAAAAATTTCTCTCTTTCAATAAGTATTAAAAACGATTTAAATAAAAAATTAAAACACCTACTCAACATTCGTAAATTCATCAGTCCATTACATCAGAAAAGAAAAGGAGAAAATAAAATTAACGAAGTCAGCGATTCGTTTTAATCTATCGTCGTATCGTTCGTTTCTATAGAGAGAAGAAATAAGAAGAAAAAACGATTGCAAAATTGAGCGCAGTATTTAAGAGGAATCAACGCGGAGATTCGCGGAAAAACGCGGTTCAGGTTTTCGCGGTACCCCACACAACCGACCCAGAGAGAAGATGCCCCGAAGCAAGCGAGACTCGACGGCGCCTGCGTGACCATGTGACGCCATTGGCGAACCGGGCAGCTCGTCCGCTAGACATTCAGTCTCGCCTCAGCATCGAACGAGGTTGTATGTGTTTGCGGCGTACATCGCTCGACAAACTAATATCACGGAAGTAATCGAAGCCCGAGTTAACTGACGGTGATCGCGTATTAACGTATTCGAACGTGTAAAAATACGGGATCGCGTGACGTCTATAGCCTTAACAAGAGTTATATGTAGAAGCTGAGTGCCCGAGTTCACATTTTTCACGTCGTTCGACTGGAACGGATCGGTCGAAATCGATCGAAACATCGTCAAAGGACGAAAGGTGTGAAACGAGTCGAACGAAACAAAAAGGAAAGAAGAAAGAAATAAAAGGGATCGCCGCGAAACTTGTTCCCTCTACCGAGAACTATCGTTTGAACGGACAATTAACACGCGATACACACGCGTTCCTTCTTTATTTTTTTCTACGTTCGCGGAATCAGTCTGTCGTCTGACGATAATCCTCGCGTCCCCTCGTACCGTTCCAATTAACGTTCCAGTGATAAACACGTGTCTCCGGGAGTGTAGGAAACGGCAAGAAAGGGCGACTGGGCAGGCAAATTTGTTCGTTCATGTCCCAGACGATGTTCCTCTCGTTCGACAAGTGACAAGCTTTGACCAAGGGAACATACACGCATACGTATATATATATATATAAATATACATATATATACATACATACACGCCACGTATCGGTACATTGGACTCCGTGAGCATCGCGGAGAGAGTACATGCAACGATCAGGTGCGTTATCGCGTGTGTCGCTTGATCGTTTCTCTTACTATGCACACTGAGAGGTACCCGATTACTATGAGAGAATGAGCTGCACGGTGAAGATTTCGTGTGGGAAGAACTGGAGCGGATCGCAGCGAAGGATCAACTCCCTCGCGGAGGAAACGACGTGTCCTACGGGTGGAAGCGCGAGCTGCGCCGGCCTAGCGGGCCAACCGACAGCCGTAGTGTCGACCACAGCCACCACGTCCACGTCGACCATCACCAACACCGTCAATCCGAGCACGCTGACCACCAGTAGTCAGAGGCTCGCGCCGTCGCGTCCTGTCAAGTCGATCACCGCTAAAAAAGGGGAGGATACCACGAAACTGCTCAAGTACATCGACGATAACGTCATCGGCAAGAACGGCACGTTCTTCGGACCATTCGGCCGCAGGAAAGGTCAGTGATCAATATAGTCTTTACCCGTACCGCTCCCTCCAGTCAGCCCTGCTGCCCCTTGCCCCCACCAAACCATCAAACCCTCTCCCTCTCTCTTTCTCTCTTTCTATCTTTTCGCGACTTTCTCGTTCTCTCCGTTTCTCTCTTTCTCCCTCCTCCCATGACACGCATCGAATCCACTATACAAAGAGGCGCGTCTAGCTCGATCCAGGGACTCCTCTCGTTAAGATCGTCGACATCGTTCGATTAACGTTTACGAGCTGTGTATATCCTATCAATAAAATCGAAGCTTCTCGCAGCTTCGACACAATTCCGACCGTTCACGAGGGTGTCGCTCTCGAGCGACTTCCTCTCCTCTTCGTCCCTCTCGAACTCGTCGAGTCTTAAGGGCTTTAGAGTCTAGATCGTTACACCTAAAATAGCGCGTATATACGTGGATGCGTTTCGTCGATTCGGACGGAAAGGATGAGTCCCCCTCAGGTTTTTTTCTCGAGCAGCTGCTTCTGCCCCGAAGTCTGTTTCGCTATGCGCTTGGTCTGGTACGAGGGGGATACCTTACGAGTGCACTTGGCATATACCTTTCGTAACACGATACTTCGGGGAGAGCTGCGCGCGGAAACCTCTAGCATGTGCTGCGAGCATGTATCTCCAATTAGGAACATAAGAGCGCGTTGTGGTGCGGTTTGCGGCACCTCTGATCGATATCGCGAGAAAGATCAACTCGGTTTTATCCTCGTGTCGTATCTCTATTATTGTTAACACGGTCGCGTGTTTGGCGCGTGAGGTCTTGTAAAAGAGACACAATTTCCACAATTCTTCCTTTAAATTATTCCAGTTTCTCGTGGAAGAAGGAAACAAGGGACACGCGTAACGCAACGAGAAGAAACGAGCGTAGTGGACACGTACGCGAATGAACGAGAACCGGGCTCGATCGCGTACGACGCTTGCATAATTAATTCCCTTCAAGTATTTTGCTTTCGAGCGTCTCGGAGAGAGGGGCGGGCAAGGAACATAACGCTCGCTCGTCAACGTAAACACTCGGCCACGGGAACTCGGGTACGCCGGCTGTGTTAAATATTCGAAGGCAGGAATGTTTGCGCGTCGTATTATTTTCGGTGTCGTTGGCCTACGGCCGCGAAGGCCACCCATTTCTTTGGCCTCCAGCCGAAACTGTCGAGATCCTCTCCTCTCCGTGTCACGAGTCCCCTCGTCCTGATCTATGCGAATATCGTGGAAAGGCCACGAGGCGCCAGTCTAGCTAGGCGGAAGTCGACTTCTCTTTCTTCCGGGCGGCTTCGTAACGATCATGGCGACCAAGTCCGTGCTTAGCCGTTTTGATCGAGTTAACTATATAGTTACACCCTAAAGCGTAACTCGGGTGTGTCCATCGCTAGAGAAGAGGAGGGAGAGAGGGAAAAGAGAGAAGGTTCGTCGATGTTCCGGGATCTCGTGCTCGCACGCTTCCTGATCGCCGCCCACGGAGGGCCACGTGCGGTGCAAATAAATTGCCAGCATCGACCATTTTAAACGATTCGCCATTAGATCCGTGCCTCGCGTTCCGTTCGTATATACCCGATCTAATTTTCCTGGCCAAGCATCTTACCGGCTGTCTTTCTAATAATTCTTCAGGTATATACCGACCGATCCGTGTAAACGGTAGATAAACGACGATGTTGCAATTGCCGAGGAAATTGCCGACACGTTCGAGATTCTTCTTTTCGCTCACGAGACTTGCGCGACTAGTTGCGTTGAGAATTTTTTTTTTTTTTCCTCCTTTTTTCATTGTTGAATAACGAAGTCGTTAGAAGTTCCAAGAAATCGAATTACCGACCTATTACGAAGATTGATCATCTTTTCATTTCAATAGTAAGTAAATAAAATATGAGGTATCGCGAAGGAATTTTTGTTGAATATTGTATCCTGAAATATTTTTTCTTCTTTCTTCTTGAAAATTATATTTATCTAAATCTTTTCTTATATCTTTTCGATATCGCGTCCTGAAATACTTTTTTCTTCTCCTTTTTTTTTTTTTTTTGGAAATTATATTTATTTGGTATTCGGTATGCATTTGCAATTAACTATATTTACGCGAATAATAATAACGGGTATACAAAATCTAAATCGAGAGTTCGTTTAGCTCTTCTTTCAAATCTGTTTAGTACAATTATGAAAGAAGAAAATTTCTAAAAATAATACACGACCGATTCACGATTCTTATTATATACGTTTAAAGACGAAATTAGGAACTCGTGGTATCCAAGAAAATTGACATCTAACGCAAGTTAATGCTATTTGCGTCGTTCGTGATACATCGTCTAGATCTATCTAATAAATGATGTAATCTAGCGAACAATTATCATCATCGAGCGGTGACGTGCTCGGATGATCGCGAATATCGGCCGAAATCGATGTGCCATCGGGTTAATCCCGTTCGAGTCGGTGGCATTATTAGCTCTTAATAGCCGGGTGCGTGGACGAGGCGCGTGATTCACGAAAAAACACGTCGGACCGACGATCGAAAAACAAGTTTCTCGAGTCGACAGATGGGCCAGATGAGTCGCCCAATCTGCCGATGCACCGATTTGTCACGAGAAGGTTGTACGTTTTATCCGTTACAACGTACATTGTATATTATTATATCGAGACTCGTTATACATTTTATACGCAGCGTGTGTTGTCGGCGTGTCTCGAAATATAAACGTAAGGGAGGAAGCATCGTAGCCTGGCCGACGAGGATGGATGGAAAGTCGTAATGGCGAACTCGACGTGAGTCACAGCTCGCACGAGCGAGGAACGATAGCCGCGAATGCAAGAATACGATAAGAGGCAGCGGGTTTACTACGCGCGAGCGTAGCGTTATCGAAGTGGGCACAGTCAAGGACGCACAGTCGTCGATGAGCACCTCGAAAGAAAATGAAAACGAAAGTCCGCTTTTGCCGCATCATCGATGTCGTCATCGCGCGGATATAGCCACGTGTGGATAGTTTCGTCAAGTGCAAGGTCAACCGGTGAGATGCATCGCGAATTTCTTCCCTATTATCCTCGTGTTTTTTGTTGAACTATGAAATCACTATGATTTACGTTGAGAATAAAATTTTCGTTGAAAATTGTCTCGGGAGATAAAGATAATAATTCGAAGATGACACGAATCGATCCATGTCCTAATTCAACAATTGTAGCGTTTGTTTGTTCGCGCGAATATTTGTTTATGTTTTTTGGCAGTTTGTTAGACTTCGTATCGGCGGGAATGTTGGCAGATAAGATAATCGTCGGAACAAATTTCGACGTTGCTCTTATTCGCGTTCTAAAATTTCCATTAGTTTCTCTTCTGTCGCGTTTGTCTGTCGAGAAAAGAGTGTAGATATAGAGTTGGAACACGATCGATCGTTCGCCGTGTGGAAACGTTCGTAAAAGCGTGACCCAGTTCGTTATGCGTACCGACACCTTGTTGACCTAATTCCAGCCCTTCCGAGGCTGTATAATAGCGGAGCAACGCCCACGAGCGCCCCTCAGCGTGCGCCGTGCGACTTTCCATCGAGATCTTCGTTTGACAAACGTTCCTCTTCCACCACGTTTTATCCAACGGAAATCGGCCTCGGATGATATCAGTGACAGCCAATCGGCGAGCATCGCTTCATTTTCAATGCAGTTTCGCGTGAACGTAATAAAAGCGGGGAGGACATAAGGACGGGTATTGTATTAGAAAACAACGGCTCGTATTCATCGTAATTTCGCTTGAGCGGATTTGCCTTCTCTGTCTCCGTTTCCTCTCTCTCTCTCTCTCTCTCTTTCTCTCCCTCCATCTTCTCTATTTTTCTATCTCATATTCGCGTTCAATCCACTCACGAGTCACCAATTTGAAATTCCGCATAGATCGTTCGCGGTTACTTCCGTTGAATAACAATCCCATCCGAGTAATTACGTGACGACAATATGAGCGATCTATCGGTGGAAAAATTCACGGATTCATAGATCCTCTCCGATATCGGTGCCTTTTTATCGTCGGGTTGTTTTGCCAGCCCCCCGGTGAAAGCGCACGGGTGGAATCGGATGAAACGGGCGGATATTTGCCCGAGATAGAGCATCGAAATCGGCCCGTCCTCTTCCGTCTCACTGTGCCGTTAATCGAGCGGGTTGATTCTACTGGCGGGCATCGCCGCGTTACACGCCGATGAATCTCTAGTATCCGCGGAGTTAATCGCGCAGAGCTGAAAGTCCAACACGATCGGTGTCGTTGAAAAGTCGCGGGAGCGTGTGGTGGTATCTCGTTCACGCGCCTCCACGATGCCTCGGCTCGCGTGTACGTGTGCCGTACACGTTCAGAATTCGACTCCGGTTCGAGTCGAAGGAACGGAGAAATCGCGCGATCCCAGATATCACTCAGTGTTGTCACCGTCTTTTTTTTTTTTTTTTATGGAATCATGAGATACTCGTATTTTTTTCTCCGCATCTTTATTTTTTTGTTTTTCGCTCTTTGTTTTCTTTCCTTCTCGCTTCATCATTGCTTCTGTTTTATTATTGATATTATTTTTATTCTTTTCTTTCTCTTTTTTTTTTTTTTTTTCTTCTCTTTTTGTCGAAAAGATAAATCTTCAGCTCGAAAGTCGACCTCGATTTTATAATATAGCCGCGTATCGGTGGTGTAGAATTTTAAAGATACGCGTCGGATTTTGCCGAGTTGCGTTTCGCAGGTCGTGTATTATATACGTTCTACGCTGTGAAAAAAAGGTGAAAGAGAGAGAGAGAGAGAGAGGAAGAGGGAAAAAGATTCGTGTTACATCAGAGTTTGCGCGAAACCGTCTCTCTCCTCGAGAGGAAGCGGAGCCAACGCTATCGTTGTACACACATTCTACGCACGTTGTTTTCTCACGGTCTCAAGAATGGCACCTTGACGGACGTCGCTTCGGCTACTATTACGATAAGGTTCCAGCAACGTCGTTGAATAAAATTCAACGTAATTTCTGTGTGCCATTGATCGTCGAACGCGGATAGATATACGC